GTCCTGGAACTCCAAGCAGCACCTCTTCTAGCAGTTTGAGCTACCAAAGGCCTACAGAGAAGGCACCGTCTCCATCACATGTTTCGCCCGCAGAAGCTGCTGGTGTTATTGCTGTTTTGAAGGACAAAAGGTAGGGATCCTGGTGCTACAGATATCTGTTCATTATATAGAAATGATGGTTTTGCTGTTTCAAGAAAGAAGAAACCTGTATTTATTTATAAAACAAAGCTCAGAATTTTTGGATAGATTGAAGAATGTTGAAAATGACTTGATGACTGAATACAAGAAAGAAGAAACCTGTATTTATTTTAGGTGCACAGACAAGCTTAGAACTTAGGTTTTACATATCAAGACAGGATTTGTTCACACAATCTTTGGTTTAATCAATCTTTGAAAGAGCATACTTGTTAAATCACATATTATTCAGTAAGTGACTCTGTTATTGCTTAGTCTGTATAATTGAGAGACTTATATTCTGAAAAATATCTATAAAGTTGTAACCCTTCAGGTTTTATTGTGCATGCTTGAAGTCCATTGTATTGACCATGTCTCATGTCTCAGTGTCTTGAGTCGTGCAGAGATAACTCTCTCAGATTACATACAATTCTTGTCTTATCTTTGTGCAGTAATCAGTAACTAATCATTATGTTTTCCTTATTAATGCGTTTAGTGTTGATGAGCTACGGAAGCTTTTGGCTGACAAGGATGCATACCAGCAGTTTTTTCTTTCACTCGATCAGGTCAAAATTCAAAATAATGTAAGTTTTAACTTTTGCTGTTGTACTCTTGCTTTTAAAGGTTCAAATGCTGCTGCACACACGCACCCACACTGGTATCAACACTTTCCTTTTAATTAGCAAATGCATGGGAAGTTGATATCTTAACTATGATTGTTAGCATGATGTGGAGTTGCTTTGTCTCTGATACTTTGAGTTTTGGGATGTGTCTTTATTCTGTTTCTTATGTCTCTACTGACAACATCAGCTAAGAGAGGAGCTACGGAGGGAAACGCTGCAATTATCCAGTGAGTTATTTGTTCCATTTTCCGATCTACTTGTCTCCTGATGTTGAATTATATATACATGAGAAAACAAAGCTTAAATTTATCTTTGTCAAACAGGGGAAAACTTGGAAAAAGAACCACGCATGGTGGAACTTAGGAACCAGGTGAGCATTTACAATGCTTATTTTCTCGTACTAGTTACAAACTTATTGTATTGATCACTGAACCTCCTCTCCCACTTTTTGGTGTCCACAGTGCAGAATAATTAGAACAACCGAGTTGGCCGCTGCTCAGGAGAGGCTAAATGAGCTTGAGAGGCAGAAAGAAGAAACTTTGAAGCAATATTCCCCCCCTTCTCTTCTCCATAGGCTTCAAGGTATGCAGTAATGATAGTTTGAAATTGTGAAGTAATTTATAGGATTCTGTATTGCTAAGGCAGCAATATGCCATTTCTTACAAAATTGCATTACACATGAATCACAATCGAGTTTTTTGGTACATGAAACGTTGTTTGTCCGTGCAGAAGCGATGAATAAGACGGAGGAAGAATCCGAAAACCTGCACCAGCAGCTCATTGATAGGGAGGTTGATCTTGGGGGTTTTGTGGAGAAGTACAAGAAGCTTCGTACGACTTACCACAGGCGAGCACTTGTTCATCTTGCCGCGAAAACTTCTGCAATTGGATGAACTTGTTATGATAAAAACATGTACACATTTTAGACGATAACTCTATTAGAAAAAGTTGAAAAGAATACTTTTGATGGTTGCTTCTTGTGGCTCTGTATGCACGTACCATTTTGGCAATCTATTTGTCTTCTCATACTAGCATTCAAATTTGATTGTAATTCTGTGTATAAGCATTATGTTTTTCCCTATTTGGGTTTTGATAGCTCTCAAATTTGATCAAAATAGTGGTATGAAAAGAAATTTTCAAAGATATTTAGATGGATAACCAACTTATACTTTATGGGAATCCCACTCCCGGGGATTTACATTTTATGCTGGACGATGAGAGTATGTCTTTCTCGTCAAGTACCTCTTCGACTAGGTCTGACGCGCAAAGCGCTCCACCTGAGTGTGAGCAAATATTTGAGGCGCTCTGTTCGGAATACACCAAGTGGGTGTCGAGGTCCGATAAGCAATTACCCCCGAATTCAATGGATCCCTCGTTACTGCCCAGACAAATATGAATCCATATCATCAAAACAACTACTACACACATAAAATCTTTAATCTTTTACAACATAATTGCAGTAACTCAACCTAAACCAAACAAGTGGAAGAAAACAAAGCTATTCCTCCAACTCCAAGCGATCCAGCTCCTTCTCCCACTTGAGCCCTATCATTTGGCGACCAAAAGGAACCATGAGATTATACTGGAAAACCTTATTGTTGATGTGCTTGACCTGCAACTTCAAAGTCTCAGAAGTTTCAACCCATTTTGAGTGATCGTTCTTATTTGCCCAAGCCTTCTTCAGAGCCAGCCTCCACTCAGATACCTGGCTCCTTATCTCCTTGTTGAGCTCGACCCACCGCGGTGCACAGCCATTTTTGGATAGAATTCTGTACAGAGTGTCCTCAGCTGGGTCTGCATGAGGGTTTCTGGTTAAGTTGAGGGGCTTCCCTTTTCCTGGTAAATTCTCAAATTGCCCTTCTTCCATTGAATGCCATATTCTTTGCTCAACCACATTGATTATATCTGTTTCTGACCTGCCCAGTGCCCACCATCCCAAAATTCAAAAATTATGATCATAATAAGAAAATCCCAAAATTAGCAGACAAAAGAAAAATTGGGTTTGGTGGACCTGATGTTGTTGCGCTGACCACGAAGCTCAGGAGGGAGTTTACTGTCGTTGACGGCGTCTATAACCGACGATAGACGGTCTAGCACTGGCTTCTTCTTCTCCGCGTTGTCAGGTTTACTAGACGACGATGACGATGATGATGATTGCCGTCTCGGTTGGGACCCACCATGGACGACGCTGATAACCGTTGAAAATGAATCGTGCACCGTTGATCTCAGAATCAGAGACGACGACGACGAAGACGCTATTGTTCTTCGCGCGAGGCTGGTCGCCATGGCTTCAGTTCAGCTCAATTCGGACCACTCTTCTGGGAAAAACAATTGTAGAACAGTATCTATATAAAGGGTATAGCCGCGCGGCTATACTATTTATAAAAAAGAATAAAAAAGGCACCAGGAAAAATATTTTTTTAAAACGGCCCCATTAAACCCGGTCGGCTATACTCTTTTTTAGAAAAAAAAAAATATTCCTCGTACAGCCGGCGGCTATACCATTTTTATAATTAAAAAACCCTAGTATAGCCGACCGGCTATAATTGTTTAATAAAAAAATTATTGAATATAGCCGGTCGGCTATACTATTTATATTTAAAAAATACCCTCCAGGCGCCTAGGGCCCGCTTCGCCACGTCAGTATAGCCGGGCTACACGATTTTTATAATTAAAAAAATCTGAGTATAGCCGAACGGCTATACTATTTTTTTTTTAAAAGGGTATACTGGTGAAATACCCCCTAAACTTGTACCTTAGTTTCAATTAGCCCCCTATCCTTTTTTTTTAGAAATGTAAGGACCCGATCTATTTTTTTTCGCCAATGTTCCCCTCGACGTTAGAATCTAGCACTTCCCATCCATTGTGCCGTTAAGATGGAGGTTAGTTGTGTCATTTCGCGTCTCCATTGAACTGAACCAATGCTTCAGCTATTAATTCCTTCGTTTTGGCACGATTTTTACCCAAATGCATTTCCCTCCATTTTTTCCAACCTCCATTTTCGTACCCTAAACCAAAGGGGGATTTAGGGTTTAGGAGAAAACCCAATATTTAGAGATGAGGAGGTCCTTACCTGGCAGAGGTCATGGAGGTCATGGGTCACAGAGGTGGAATTCACAAGGTGAAGAGGGTAGTTCATGGATGGTGCCTTCAGTCGTCTGCTACTGTGGGAAGACTGCGAAAATCCAAACATCTTGGACTGCTGCACATCCGGGGAGGAGGTTTTACATCTGTGGGAGGGTAAGTTTGTTGTTGAAATTTGGTTTGCACATTTGAAATTTGGGTTGCCGATTAGAAATTTGGACTGATGCACAACGTTTTTTTTTCTTCTGTTTTTTATGTATCAATTTGTTGTGACAAATGTGCAGAATAGATGTAGATTTTGGGAATGGGGT